TGTAAGCCATGGCCGACCAGAGGGGTGATGGCAGGACGTGCACATAACGCCGACGCGATGCGACCTCAGCCAGGGCAGGGTTCGTGTTTTCGTGTTTGGCATCATGGGTGGTGGCACCCAGGCTGCCAGGGGAGAGAGAATCCATCGCACCGTGTGTGTGTTACACTGGCCAGGTCTGCCCTGCGCCGAGCTTCTGGAGCCAGCAGCAAAACAGAGTCTCGTGGCCACAGGAGCGAGGCGCCAAGCCCAGGCTTATCAGCCAAGCTTAAGCCAAGCCCTACTGGCAAGAGCATCTTGTGGTTGCACCACTTCGGAAAGCGTGAGGCTGTATTTCTGCGTGATGCTGGACTCGGGAGCAGCGTCTCCACCCTGTCCTCCATTTACGTGGTGCAGAGGACTCCTTAGCACAGCCCAGGTTTGCCACACAGCCATTGCTTTTGGATGCAGCCAGCTACTCGTAGGCACCCGGTTACTTAGCGTGGGTGTTTGGCAGCTGCAGGAGTGCTTATTGGACTCCTTATCAGACCCTTCTCTCCGCAGCCCATTTGTGGTGCGGCATCTCATTGAGCAGCTGCACAAGCCCAAAGGCGTCAGGAAGAGCAGTGCACAAGGCAGAACAGAAATGCGTGTGGTATCTCTGTAGGATATAAAGAAATCAGCCACTGAGCTAAGGAAGGTCAGACGCAGAAGTCCTTATCTCCCTTCCCGCAAATAGGGATCATGAGTAAAGCACTCGAACATCACAGCCATCATGAGAGGGAGTTAAAAAAAACATGAGCCTATGTTGTTGTTTGTCAAAAAATAACATGTTCTGGGGTTTCACTCTCCATCATACGGTTTCGTGCCTTTAGAATTTTGTATGTTGGGTTCTTTTTTTCTCTGCATTGAGAAAGGGTAGAAACAGGTTTTTTTCTTTTTTTTTTTTTTTTTTTTTGAACACAATTGACAATCTTCCACAATCATTGGCTTCCAGGAACCAAAGCTTTAACACCCCCCCTCCGCTTTCTCTTCCTCCCCCAAGAAGCATCTTGAGCCTAGTGATAAAATCCAGGTTTCGGCCAACGTTGGGTGGAGTATCTACAAGGAAGGTGTCGTTGACGTTTCATGAGGCCACGTGTTAATTGCTTTCTATCTCTCTCGAAGAGTTTCTTCAGGTCCCAATAGGTTCAAATTTAGTAGTAAACATTTAAGCGGCATTACTTTATAGGACTTCATATGCTGTGTTTTGCTGCAGAGGTGGCAGCATTTCCAGGCATGGCGGGGCTGATCTCTGCCAAGACCGTATGTGCTTCCAGTGATGAAATGCTCTTTGGAACCTCTTTGCTCCAAATATATCTTAGTATTTCTAGAAAAGCAAGTGTTCCTGTAGGATCTTACTGAAGGCACGGGTGAAAAAAAGGATCAGCTGTGAAACAGTAGCAGGTAGCCCCGAGCTCCTTTGGAAAGCACAGGGAGAACACGAGAGAACGTCGTGGGGAAGGGCTACTGCTAAACAAAACACCTCCAGGTTATGAAGGAGGCTCTGCCAGATCGTAGCTACCATATGGCATTCCAGGTTTGTCTGACGTGGTTTCATGCACTGAGTGTGGGTCTGGGACCTTTCTGTTTCTGGCTTTGACTTTACCCCAGAGATCCTCTGCCTTGGGCAAAACGCTCAGAACCACTCTTTGGCCTCTTTTTTTTGTTTGGTTTTTTTGTTTTGTTCTACAAATAATCAAGGTTGGCATAATCAGGTGCAGCTCCATCATCATCGGTGGGGATGCTGCCTGGTTTAGTCCTTGGCCCCAAACACCGTATGTAGAAGTATGGCAGGAGGATCTCCACGTAGTGTTGCAGAGCTGGACTCCATCCCACCACGTGCTCTGCGTACCTCCCTCCATCATGTTGACTTCGGTTTTCCCCTTAATTGCCCTGCAGACGGCCCCATCCCTCCCGTGCAGTGGTGGTCCCTCTCCTCCCGCCCGCTGCCCTCTTCCTGCCCTGTCCCATCCCTGCCGGTGGCTCCTCACCTGCATCTGCCCGAGGTTTCTCTTAGATGCAGCAAGCAAGATCCGCCTGTTAATGCCGGGTTTACACTGAGCCACAGATCTTTGCGCTCTCTTCTCTTAATCGTCTGTTTTCAGGAGTAAAAGAAGAAAATAAAGCCCGGCACTCTCTGCAGTGCCGTTAACTGACCATGAAAGTGTTTTGCCGCAGAGAGGCTGGGTGGTCAAGTGGTTTGAGAACAAGGTTGGAAACCATCATCTCCCGAGTTTCCAAACTGTTCATGTCACTGAGCCTCTCCGGGGCACAGTGCTTCACCCCATATGTCTCTGTTTACCATCGATAAAACAGAGCTATTAATACTGCTATGCTTCAGGGTGATCTTTTGGACCATAATTAATGTTAAAACCTTCTGAGATCACTCGCTGGAAGGAGCTAGAGAGGTGCAGAGGGCTGCGTACTGCCGGAGCTGCCAGCTTCCACCAGAGCTGAATTTATTGGTGCTGATTCCAAAACATCTCATTCAGAGTGAATGGAAATGAGAAACTTTCCTCTAAGGTTCTCGAAAGAGGACTGGTTGCAGGTGAGGTAAGGCAATTATTTTTTTTTTTCTCAAAAAAGAATTTTTGACAAGATCAAAATCACTTTGATTCTCATGTTTTTCCATTTACATTTTGGGGTCTTTTTTTCTTGTATCATCTGAAAAAATGATGAAATGAAGGGCTTGTTTGTTGATATATATTTTTTAACCCAGGCCTGACCAGTAGAGATGCTCTTGCTCTTGGCAGCTGAGTGACTTTGTTTCTGTGTGTGCTGGGCAGAGGGGAAGAGTGCAGCCAAAGGGCTAACGCAGGTCTTCGACATCGCCCAAAGGGGTGGATGTGCTTCAACACCCTGCCAAGCAGAGATGCTTCCCCCTGACCGCACTGGCGATGGAATAGGTGACGTGAGCACTAATTGCCGAATATTACAATTGTGTTTTGATGAAAGTCTGCCATTTTTCAAGCAAAGTGCTCTGGCACAGATTGCCTCAGAGCTAATGGAGCCTTACTGACTGAGCCACTGCGGGCAGAGCAGAGGTTACACATTAGCTGTGCTCGCCCATTAAAAAAAAAGAAAACACAACAGCACAGCCGCTGTGGCTAAGGAAGTGACCCCAGGATGGGGATGGAGATCAGCTCGCGGCAGTAACCTGCTTGTTAATCCCTCTTACTGCTTGTTGGGCTTATGCCGATGAGCAAGAAGAGCGTTGCCTGCTGCTGAGCACGGGGATGGGCTCAGGCCTGGGTTCTCTGCCCAGCTCTCCTGAGGCAGAGTTCCGTGTCCCACTGGGGCCGGGGTGCCCCCCCCCCAACAATCACTGTCCCTGTTGCTGTTGCTTTCTGGACCCGGAGAGAGGGGATCCATGCTGCCAAGCTGCACAGACACGTACCTCACCTGCTCACAGCAGGAGACTCCGTACTCACCTTGAAGCCCTCATCTGTGGAAGGGAGGAGGAGGGATGGTTGCACTCTGGGATGGGGTGCGAAGTCCTGAAGTTAGACTTGTGCCCTGAATTCGATATTACCCTATTGCTCTGTTGCTGTCCCTTAATTATAGCGGGAGAACAGCCTGTGTGTGGTACTTGTGAAGTTGCACAGTGCGGACGTCCTTCCTGAGATGCTCCCACTCTGAGCAACGTTCCTTGTAAATTAAGGAAAATGATGTCATGCCAAAGAATTAAATAGCATCTCCTTGGGTGAGCTCAGCGTGTGCGTCCCCTGCATGCCCCAGCTTTGTGAAAATGGGAGTTGTCCCTACACACAAGTGGATTCCTTGGCACTCTGCTGGCATCCTTTCAGCCAGTATTGTGAAGGAACTAATGCTAATTGCTCAGAGAGAGTATGTCCTGTGCTGGGAATTGCTACCGTGCAAATGTCAGCTCTTATCAGCCGCGTGTGGGGTGTGCAGGGCCGGCGGGGAGGAGAGAGGGGGGCTGGCGGTGCTCGTGTGTGGGGTGAGGAAAAAGGAGGCATTGCTTCTGTCCCCGTTAAGGATGCTAAGGAGTTAGGATGGTTCCTTAAGTAAACACACCTCAGGGTCTCAATCCCATTTAAGCTTCAGCTGCTTTTACGGTACTCTTTGCACTCACTTGCAAGAGCTGCTCGGTTTTACCTTAGGATAAGGAGCGGGGCTGTGTTATTTCTCAGGAGCTGGGTACTCCACCACCAGGCATCTCAGACCTCCGAGGGGTTCAAGCCAGCTCCTGCACTTTGTCAAAGCCAGCTCGAGTTTCCGTGCCTGGCTCGGGGCGAATAAATATGGACTGATGCCTTTTGAGAGAGTGGACGGAAGATTGTCGCCCCTGCTGCGAAGAAGCATTCTCATTTTGGAGCTTTGATATTCTGACCAGGACTCTGAGCTCAGCATCGCAGGACAGCCCATGCAGCCACAGCCTGTTTATTCAATGCTTCGTCCAGCACAAAAGCCATATTTTATTGTCAGATGCTCTCCATTAGCTTCAAGTGTGAAATTATCATTCCCACCCTTTTATCAACCCCACCCTGGTGAAGAAATGAGGGAGAAAACAACCTCAAGGGCCGTTCACAGGATGTGTACGAGCTGTCACTTGTCAGCACAGATTCTGCTTATGGCAGGAATTACTGCTTCTCTCTCAGGAGGGCCCGAGAGAACCCCGGCTTGCAAACACCACAGCGTTATACTGTTTGCATCGATGCCTGGCGAAGCAACCCCAGAGATGTTTGCGTGCTTTCGCAGTCAGGCAGCTGCAGGGTACAGCCCCGCAGGGATCCCAGGGACGGCGGAGGGAGGGGAAACGCAGCTCGGCGGGTGCTGTGTGGGGACGTGGTGGCCTGTCCCCCTGGCGCTGGCTCCTTTCCCTGGGTGATCTGGTCTAAGCTCGAGACTGTCTCACGTCTCCTTGAGATGCCAAAACTGACTGATAGGAGCCTGGACCACTCTTTTCCTTTCTCTTGTGAAGGCCGGTTCCCATAACAACCTGACGGTGTGGGACTGAGGGATAAAGACATTATTTTCCTTTTCCTTCCTGCCTTCCAGATTTACCCTCTATGCGGTGGATACACGAGGGAGACACTCAGAGCTGAGCACGGTCACCCTGAGGACCGCCTGCCCACTGGTAGATGACAGCAAGGCAGAAGGTCAGTGTTCACGCGCCTCGTTTTCCACAACAGAACACATTTCCTCCTGATTTTGCCTTTCCTGTATTCGTTGTACTCCTGCAAGCCCCTCCAGTCCCTCCTCTCCCAGCGTGAAGGCGCCTGTAAATTCACCCACGGGCACAGGGATGTTAATCTGGGGAGGGGTGGCAAATTGCAAGTGTCCAGTAGTGAAGTCTCCTTAGGTGGGCAGCTGGTGGCTCCCGTGGTCCTGTGCCACGCCAGCATCCAGCATCCTTCCCCACACACAGCCGTGGGAGCCGATAACGTGCGTTTGACACACATCCCCTGGAAAAAGGGCAATCTCTTCTTGCAGGAGCGAGAGATGCAGCCCTCGCCGCACCGGGGCAGTGAGCGGTGCGGGACGCTGTCAGCTCCGGGTGTTTAAAAGGATGCTGGTGGCAGCCGGTTCGGTTCTGAAACAGAAACGCCAATAAAAGCTGAACCAATTTTTCACATTTGCATTTTCCAGTTTTGATACCAATCCCATTTGTTCTCATGCCCAGAGTGCTTTGCTGCCTTTAAATTTAAAAAGATTCCTCTAAATGAAAGGCGGGTTACGTGTTTCTTTCTTGTTTGTTTTCTATTTTGAGTAGCACACCAAAGAATGTTTTCATTAATGCTTTGTTTCATGTTATTGCTAAGCATTCCCAGGGAAAATGAGCAAACGGGAGACTAAAAAAAAGGAAGGAAATGGGATTTTGTGCATTTTTCAATTCCAAAAAGAGATCCTTTTCTACAGCAGAGAGTGCACACTCTTCTTTAATACATCTAAGCCGCTCTAGTAGATACCCACAATGATGAGGTGCTGTATTTCTGCCTCAAGTGCCACCTCGTTACCAACAGTGTCATATTCCTCCAACCCTTCAGCATCATAGCTGTGCAATTGCTGTTGTTTTGGTGAGCGAGGGAAGAGCTTGCCAGCCCTACCTGGGAGGATAAGGCTGCGTCTGCCTGTGCTGGCAGCCCTCCGCTCCTGCTCCCGTTCCTCCATGGAGTATTGCTGGAGTCTTTGGGGCTGCCTCGCTCATGCGGGGCACTCGCTGCAGGATCAGCCTGAGGAATTGCTAAGTGCTCCCCAGGTCACTAAACCCCACTGCAGGCAGCCCCGAGGGACTGGCAGCCATCCCAAGACGCCCGCCCGTCCTGCCAGCCCTGCCAAGGGCTTCGCTCCTCCTCCTGTGTTAGCATCTTCTGGCTGTTCCTTAATCCTGTCCCCCTGATCCTTTCCAGAGATAGCTGACAAAATCTACAACCTCTACAACGGCTACACCAGCGGGAAGGAGCAGCAGACGGCCTATAACACACTGATGGAGGTCTCTGCTTCCATGCTTTTCCGAGTCCAGCACCACTACAACTCCCACTACGAGAAGTTTGGAGACTTCGTCTGGCGCAGTGAGGATGAGCTGGGGCCCAGGTACCTGTCCCTTCCCTGCATCCTCCTCCCCTGCCCTGCCTCCTGGAGCACCTCTCTGCTTGGCCACTGTGGAAGTGACCCTCATTGCCTTCTCCTCATAGCCAAGAGAAGTCCCTTTTGGTGTTCACCAAGCTCTTCTGCCATCTCCTAGGACCACCAGGTCCCATTTGGTCTTTGGATGAATGCTTGTGGGACATCTTGCAACCAGCCTGAACCAGGCGGGTGATACCGCAGATAAGGAGCTGAGTGTGTTGGCAAAGCTGAGGGGAAGAGGGAGCAAAGGGTGTAAATTAGACCTGGGACAGAGTGAATGGGCTGTGTGTAAACTGGGAGCAACTCAGATCCTCTTCAGTTGAAAAACCATGGTAGGTGAGACCATGGTTCCCCTAGGGTTCAAAGATGCCCTGATTAATCGCAGGGTGGATGGCTAGAAAGGGAGACTGAGGGAATAGAGCAAAAATGCAGCAGGTACATCAGTGTTGAGGGTGATGTGCACAGCGACAAGCATTAGGTACCAAGAGTTGCAGTACAGAGGCAGCTGTGTACCTCAGAGGTGTTTGAGGAATACAGGGCGAGTCCATCCTATACTGTCGTATTTGTGCATGCCAAATAGCCAGGTAACGAGGAGCAGCAGAATTCCTCTTGGGCATTTTTTACTGGAGCCCATTGGTGTCATGGAACGTGGTGTGACCTCCAGGACTGTCCCCCCATGGTGGGATGGATTCTGCACCCGGGACAGATCTGTTCTGTCATCCTGCATTCAGACTAGTTCCCTCCACACCCAGCCAATATTCCCCATGGACAGTTGAGGAGAGGATCACTCATCCCAGATGTGGCTTTGGGCACCTGCTACCTGCTCATGTGGTTGCGGATGTAGGGGATTATTTGTATGTGCAAACAGTTTTGAGCCCGTGGAAGGGCAGAGCTGAGGTGCTGGCAAACAGATTTTACTTTCATCTGTAGATTTACTGTTTGATATCATCAGAGGGGTCAATGATTGAGCAATCTGTATGTGGTAAACATGGCTCTACTAAATAGTATGTTTTCTGGGCATTTCCTTCTATTTATTTCTCTATCTGACTGGACGTATCTTAATCCTCACAGTGGAATATGGTTGCCGTACAAACTGTAAATATTTCCAAGATTCCCCTTCCACCTTCCCTTTCTCCCAAAAGAATAATTCAGCTTGCTGATGTAGGCACTAGAAAGGTCCTCCTAAATTTTAGCCCTGTGGTGCCCCTGACACCATGCAAGGATGCCCCTGAGCTCACATCACCTCATCTGTTACTCATATACAGCTTTATGCTAGAAATATTTTCTCTTTACTATACATTTCATGCTCTGAGGAGGGCTGGGAGATGATTGTTTCTGGGAGTATAAGGAGCAACTTTTCCAGAGGGACTGCATCTGCAAATCCCTGGTGTTCAGTGAAAGGGGTGGTAAGACTCTAAGAGATCACAGCTCAGGAATAACAGGTCCGTGGACTCCACTGCATCCAGGGGGCTGGCAGTGTCGCAACAGTGTCCCAACAGTGTCCTGGCAAAGGCCAGGCTGCCACCCAGCCCTTGGGAAACACTCGGCAAAAAATGCACAGAGGTAGCCATATCTCTCTGGACATCTTGACATCTCTTAGAGGATTCAAGTAGCCTTGACCTACTTTGAAGCTTTTAGACACACAGTTAATCCAGCGTCCTCATCTAACATGTTGTTCTCTGAGGAGCTGGAGTGGAGGGAGACAGAGGAATGGGGTCTTGCAGGAAATGAATAACTGGAAAAGATGTTCCTTCTCTCCCCTGGCTCCTATCTGCTTGTTGGACACAGCGGAGGACCTGTCCATAATACCAGGATGACAGCTCCTCACAACTTTTTACATCCCTCCTGGACATAAATCCAAGCTGGCCTGGGGCTTGCCCTCGTCTAGAGATGACCTTGGTCATAGTTCCTTTGGTAGTTCATTAGCCCCTGGCACAGAGCCATTCTCATCCTTCCCACTGCCTTCCTCCTTCTTTGATGACTCTGCAGGCTTGTTTGTCCTTTTCAATTGCTCCTCTATAAATTCCTGGGAACCATCAGCCTCTTCTTACACATCCTTATTTCCTCCGTTACTTGAGATCCAACACACTTGTTGAAGGATGCTATCTAACCTGATACCTGCATCAAGCCATGAGATTTGCAAGGTGACATTCAAATTGCTCGTATTGCCCAACTCTATACCAAGCTACTTCTGGAGACAGTGGTCAATTCGACTGCTGTCTGTCTTCCTCGCCGAGCCAGATGAGCTCCTAGCAGCACTCGTATGCCCCTGTTCTGTACTTGAGAATTGTGTGACTTGCAACCAAGAGGAAGCATCTATAAATGCCGTGGCAGCTCTTAGCAAGAGCCGTCCAGCCTTGTTTCTCAGGGAGCTTGGACAGAATTGGAGGCACTGACGTAGCACGAAGCGAGTGAGACTTTGCCAAGGGAGGCCATCTCGTAACATGATTTTAATTGACGGACTGTTCTCCTTCCCAGGGGAACATTCATTTTCATACCTTGAAATGTTTATCAAATGAGCCTCAGCTTCACAGTAAATGTTCAGTCATAAAACTGAGCGACAAGAGGGAAGTTGATTGCCTCCGTGTAATAAATACATCACACTGGAGTCCTCGTGAGCCCGGTTTCCATGAAAGCCACAGGTTACTGCAAACAGCTGCTTGCAAGAAGACACACTGACAGCCAGATGTCCCAACCAGACGGTTTACATTAAGGAGACATTAAAAACTTAGCTCATAGGTGGCCCTAAACCAGGACTTTCTGTGGTCAGCAGCATCTTGGCACCTGGCTTGCCTCATCCTGCGAGTCTCCTTTAGCAACAACAACCCCTTTCCTGCTCCCCCCATTCCTCTTACAGACACCAAGTGAATGTCACAGAGTTAATTTGTTCCAACAAAATAGAGGAATCTGTCTAAACCAGTGAAGGTTTAATGCTACTGTGCATTCAGACCTTTGGATCTGTGCAGCAAGAGTGCTTCCTGACACAGCAACAGAGAGATTTCTCTATTATTTTCTTGTACTGGATTTTCAGGACAATTCTTTTGACCACTGCAAACAGGGCCTGGCTTTTAGAAGGAGGCAGGACAAATAATTAAGTTAAAATCTTCCTTCCATGCCCATATTTGTGGCTACCAGCAACAACGGGATCAGGATGTGGCATCAGCCCGGGGCTCGCAGCCTCTCCTTTGCTCGAGCAAGTCGCCCAGGCAGGCAGCCGGGACAGCCGTGGGAGACGAAGTGCATCTCCAGAGCAGCTGCCTTCTGGTACCGAGGGGGAATGCAATGTACTGATGGGAAGCTGTGATAAGAGGCCATCGAGTCCTGGACTCATTGTCCTCTCAGACAAGGGTCTGACAGACCCAGGTCAGTTCTCAGTAGAGTGGAAAAATCTGAATTTATGACAAAATCACCCCATATGGGAACACAGCAGCCAGGCAGCCACCCTCTCCCCGCAGCAGTCCTGGGAAGCTCATCCTTCCCTCCAGCTCAGGTATCATTTCTTCTTTGCTTCTTCATGCTGGTTCGTTCTGCTTTAGCACCTTCCTCTACGTGAGACAGGGCAGTGTCTTGCTGGCTCTGGACGTGTTCTCGTCCCACACCAGCCATCAAGGTGAGTAACTGCTCTTGGGGAAAAAAGTCCCTGTGCGAGCATCCCTGGGGCTGGGCAGAGCAGGAGGTAACGTGTCTCCTGCTCTTGGACACATCCTTGCAGAGGTGTGGCTGGCAACCAGGGACCTCATGGCCCCGTCCCCTCTGCAATCACTGCACTGCACTCCGTCGCCATGGGGCTGCTGGTTCGTGCATGAGCCCTCGGAAAGTGCCCTTGCAGCAGACACCCATCCCCTCCCCTTTCCTCTCCCCCACCATGCCATGAGGTACTGCAGAGGGAAGCAGCCGTGTAGAGCCGTCACTATTTTTAAATCCCCCTCTTCATCATTTATGACTGTGGCTGTGACCTCCGAAATCCGTCACTTAAGTTAAGACCAGAATCAGTCCCTGGTTGGCGCCGACTTAAAACAACTGCTGCTGCGGCGGGACGTGGCAGGTGGGACGGCAGTGCTGGCTCACGCCAACGCGGAGGCACTCCCCGTCCGGGCTATGGGGTGAAGAGGAAGGGGGTTGCTTCATCCCTTTGGGGGCTGAGAGCTCGGGGTCTGGCCACAGGCAGCCATGAGAGTGACTTCCCCCTCGCTTGCTCCCCTGCCGTCCTCTCCCAATTACTGCCCTTTAATAAGGCAATAAATTAGCGTTTCTGGCAGGGATGAGGTTGGTCAGCATTTAGGAAGATTTCATTTCCAGTATTTGAAAAGGTGGTCGTTCTGACCCGACAGCCCTCCGCAGGGAGCACTTGGGTAATACCCAGGGCTTGATTTATGGTGTTAAATTGGCAGCCCAAGAACTGCTCCTGTAATTTATTACCCAGCCTTCACCAGAAAGCCTCTCTCTCAGCCCTCCCCTCGCCTGCTCTGTCTCTCTTTCTCCTTATTTTTTTTAAGAGGGAACAGCTGACAGCCGAAAGCTAAATCTAGCATTTACACATGACTTCATTACCCCACAAAAATAAATGACTCAAAGCGGTGAAACCCATCAAAACTGGGGCTTTGGCACTGAACACCAAAAGCGAGGGGCCTGATTCCCTCCCCATCACCCTGTCTCCTCCTTGACCATAGTGCAGTGTGTTTTCAACATCCTCCTAGGGCCAACCCATCGTGTGCTGCATCCCACCCTTAAACATCGGTACTTTCCTGGGGCCGACTGCATCAAGGACAACTGCAGATGTGCAGCTCCACGAGGAGCACAGCACATAAGCCAACAGCAGGTCTGGATGGGTTGACTCCTGGACTTCTTACCACCTCGAGCTGCTCCTCACACATAGGAATGTTTGCTTGAATAAGAGACCTGGGTATGTGTCAGAAAGCAAGGACAACGTGGTGATTTTTTAGCAAAATCCAGAAGATCATGGAAGTATGATGGAGCAAGTAATGAACATGGGAAGGTGGAGAAGGCGAGTGGAAATGGAGGCAAAAGAATGAACAGGTTGTGGAGGGGAGAATGAAAGGTGGGTGAAGAAAGCTATGGAGGGGAGGAGACAGGTGAAGTGGTGAGAAGGGAGGAGAGGAAGAGAAGAGCTTGGCCAGCAGGCATGTGTAGGTGCGTGCTGGGGAGTCCACCCCTTGTTTAGGTCAGGGCCAAGTCGTGGTTACACACCACTGGGATTTGCCTTGAGGGCTGGTCATGGCCACTCGTTGTCACTCCCCTCTTGCTATTGCTGGGAAAGGCCTTGTGCCGAGCTGGAGTGGGAATCAACCTGAGGGAAACTCCATGGGTTGCTTGGTTGGCCTTTGGATGGACAACTTCCCCATGTTGGCCCCATGGACACCTGCACAAGGAAATGGGCAGGGACAAGCTGGAGAAGGGGCAATAACCCCTTTTGTGAGTAGAGATGATTTATGATAAATAGGGGTGACCATGGAGCTATGGCCTTAGGGAGATGATAGTTTTCCTTTTTGAGGAGGAAGGTATTCTGGCCAAATGCTCTCCTCCCGAGCACTGTCAGCTCACATAAAAGTCTGTCCTATGAGCCCTGCGCTTGCTCAGCCTTCCCTGAAAAATAACGGAGAGTCAGCACACATGTTAAGAAACACTTGCTCAGCATTAGGATGGGTGAGCACTGGAAGGGTTGCCAACTCTCGGCTCTAAGAACAGGTTAGCTGATCATCAGCGCTGGTTGATCCCAGCAAGGAAATGGCACAGATGATGCCTTCTGGTCCCTTCCAGCACCAGTGACTGTAATTTGCTGAAGTTTGTTGACTGTATTGACAGTTACTACAGACTTTGATTTGCTGCTGAGCTTAGCTTTAATCAATTGGTCTTTACTGAAAGCACCTAATGCCATCGTAGAAGTTCATAACTTCTTCACGGCAGGCGTCCAGCGGTGAAGGACCTGTTCTTGGCAGTGTGTCAGGTCTCGATGTGCAGTGGGAGCACCAGATGCTGTAGAAGGTCAGGTGGCTGCTATGGAGAGCAGCACGAGTAGAGGTATTCTGTCATAGCTGGGCACAGCTCAGCCTATGACATCATTATTTTATATGCGTGTGTGTAATTAACGAGGCTCAAATTGCCTAGTCAGGCTTGCCTTTATAGATTAAATCGATACGTGGAGACCATGTAGAGTTGTCCAAGAAGGGCCAACTCCCTTTGCTCTTCCCTTGCCCTGCAAAGCCGACCCTGAGCCCGTCACCCCCAGGGAGGAGCGGGGAAGTTTTCCACGTGCGGGCCTGGGGAGCAGAGGTCTCCTACAGCCTTTCTTCCAGCCTTCACGCTCCAGAGGAAGAGGTCCGTAGCCAGCTGGGGATGCCGGGATGCCCTCTTGCCTCCTGCCACCATCTCTGCCCTCCTGGCTCCGGGGTGACTCTGGCCAGCCCTTCCCGGCGTCCCGTCCCCGGGTGCCTGCAGGTGTGCGGCCGCTTCGGGGTCCCACCCCCCCCCCCCCCCCGGCTGGGAGCTCACAGCCCGGGCTGCAACACCACTCAGCTTTCATAATCAAATAATCCCCATGTTTAGGCCTCGCTGACTGACAGCGCTGCCCCTGACATATCATTATCGGGAATTTACATTCCTCCAGGAACTGCAAAATCCCCTAGCCCCGAATCCGGAGCTTTCCTGCGGCACCAGAGGGAGAGGAAATAATCTGTGATCTTGAGACTTTCAGACCACTGAAGTAAACCCTCTTCCCCTCCCTTTGTTTGATTTAGCACTTTGCAGACTCCCACGAGGGGATTCTTGGTTTCTTACGGGTTTATTTTATTTTGTCTTAATGTGTTGTGCTTTTATTCCTCGCTCTTCTAATGTCAGTCCTTTTGGGCCATTTGCCTCCTGGAGACTTGGGAAAACAGGAAAGGGAGGGCTGGGCTCATCAGTCGGGAGCAGTAAGGTGCTGGGCGTCTCACCAGGGTCCAAGGGGGACATCACATGGGCTTGGAGCCCGCCAGGAGCACACGGTGGTGGTGGTGGTGGTGACCGTCTAGCCAGGGGCAGACAGTGTCAGACAGAGCTGCTCTGGTGGGTCAGACCTGAGGTCCCTCCAGCCCCATTGACCTGGTGCTGTGAAATAGTGGATAACACCCAGAAGGTTTTTTTGCTCTCCACCTGAAATAGGAAAGATAATGTCTTAGGCGATGGGTCTCATCCATTCTTGTTGCCGGTGGTGGAACCCAGGGGTGCTGGCTGCTGGTCTCCTCTTCGCATCGCCTGCCCTGCTCTGTCTCTATCTCTGCTTGTCCCCTCCAGGAAGGCACACCTGATCCTGAGGAGGCTGGAGAAGGTCAGCAGTCACTGCTCGACCCTGCTGCGCAGTGCCTACATCCAGAGCCGCACCGAGACCATGCCCTACTTGTTCTGCCGCAGCGAAGAAGTCCGGCCTCCCGGCATGGTCTGGTACAGCATCCTAAAGGACACCAAAGTAACGTGCGAGGAGAAGATGGTCTCCATGCTGCGCAACACGTACGGGGAGTCCAAGGGGCGGTGAGGGAAGGTGCGGGCCTGGAGCTGTGGGAGGCAAAGGGACTCCGAGGAGTCAAGGACTCGTGATATGCTGAGTGGCTGGTGGGGTTCGGGGTCGGGTGGTGTTCGGAGGGGTGGAAGGGGACAGCAAGGCCAAGCAGGACTTTCTCATGCAGATGGCAGAGAAACAAGAAATCAGCAAGTTGGACTTTAATTTCTTTTCCTTTTTTTTTTTTA